GTGTTAATTAATTACTATCGCTTTGAAATTCTAACTTGTGTTTATACTTCTATAGCTACGGCTGAAATACAGGCTGTGTTAATCAATTACTATCGCTTTGAAATTCTAACTGGTGTTTACAATTCTATAGCTACGGCTGAACTCCAGGCTGCGTTAATCAATTACTATCGCTTTTAAATTCTAACTTGTGTTTATACTTCTATAGCTACGGCTGAGATCCAGACTATGTTAATCAATTACTATCGCTTTGAAATTCTAACTTGTGTTTACAATTCTATAGCTACGGCTGAAATACAGGCTGTGTTAATCAATTACTATCGCTTTGAAATTCTAACTTATGTTTACAATTCTATAGCTACGGCTGAAATACAGGCTGTGTTAATCAATTTCTATCGCTTTCAAATTCTAACTTGTGTTTATACTTCCATAGCTACGGCTGAGATCCAGACTATGTTAATCAATTACTATCGCTTTGAAATTCTAACTTGTGTTTACAATTCTATAGCTACGGCTGAAATACGCTGTGCTAATCAATTACTATCGCTTTTAAATTCTAACTTGTGTTTATACTTCTATAGCTACGGCTGAGATCCAGACTATGTTAATCAATTACTATCGCTTTGAAATTCTAACTTGTGTTTACAATTCTATAGCTACGGCTGAAATACAGGCTGTGGTAATCAATTACTACCGCTTTGAAAATTCTAACTTGTGTTTACAATTCTATAGCTACGGCTGAGATCCAGACTGTGTTAAAGAACTACGACAGGCTGTGTTAATCAATTACTATCGCTTTGAAATTCTAACTTGTGTTTACAATTCTATAGCTACGGCTGAAATACAGGCTGTGTTAATCAATTACAATCGCTTTGAAATTCTAACTTGTGTTTATAATTCTATAGCTACGGCTGAAATATAGGCTGTGTTAATCAATTACTACCGCTTTGAAATTCTAACTTGTGTTTACAATTCTATAGCTACGGCTGAGATCCAGACTGTGTTAAGCAACTA